TGCCCAGGTTGCAGTCTCGATCCACAGTGTGGGGCGTGCAGGAGACAGCCAATCGATGATTCTCTCTCATCATTAATATTTCTCTCTCTCCCTCTCCCTTCCTCTCTGAAATTAATAAAAAATACATTTAAAAAAAATAAAATCTTATGATGAAGCAGTGATTATAGCAATGTGGAACAAAAGCCACGAAAATGTTCATTCTTACCCTGGTCCGTGTGGCTCAGTTGGTTGGAGCATACCCCAAAAGGTAGCAGTTTGATTTCCAGTTAAGGGCACATACCCAGGTTTTGGGTTTGATACCAGGTTGGGGCCTGTTCGGGAGGCAACCGATCCATGTTTCTCTCTCACATCAATCTCTTTCTCTCTCTCTAAAACAAAATAAAATAAAAAGTTCACTCTCCTTCACCTGGTATTTTTTCCATATGTGAATATTCCCCAAAGAAATATCCAAAGGGGGGAAATTTACACAGATGTTTCTGGCACCTCTGGTTATAATAGTGAAAAAAAAATTGGAAGCAATCCAAGTGTCTAATAGGGAAGTGACTAAACAAACAATGGGATTATTACATAGCTATTAAAAATGACAAGAGGTGAGGACTATGTCAACACAGAGAAGTGTGTATCTGCAGGAACGTTAAGTGGAATAAAGAACACAGAGCAGTATTTAAACACTAGTGGTTAAGGATGTGTGTGTACATTATCAAAGGCCAGAGGCCAAGAAAAGAAAAGAAGATAGCTGGAGTTCAGTGTTCACTGAACTGCATAGTTCCATGAATTTATGACAATAATAGTTCAAATGTCATGCAATGTGGATATCCTGGAAGTCCCCTGCAGAATAAGAGCTCCAACTTACCCACCAGGCTGTATATTCCAAGAGATAATTTCATGCCAAATTTTCATCAAACTAATATGAAAATAGTGCCATTTCTTTAAGAGAACAAAATACCTTTCTTTAGTTTTATTCAACAAGCAATTCTGAGAGCTTAATGATGTGCTAGAGCAGTTACAGTCTCATGGAATTTACAAAAAACATGGGTGAAATCTTCAGGTGGATATGTGCTATTATCTTCATTTTTATTTATTTGAGTGCCTGTATGTATTAGGATCTATTACAAGGGAAAGTCTGGAAGACCTTTGGCCTTTGTGAATGAAACCTCACAAATTGTCTTGATTTTATACTTTTGATGTTGTCTCCAAAAGGAATCCTATGTATAGTCACTGAGATTATACTGATAAAGATGAAAAGGAAAAGGTCATCATCATACTCTAAACCAGCAGTTCTTAACCTGTGGGTCACGACCCCTTTGGTGGTCGAACGACCCTTTCACAGGGGTTGCCTAAGACCACCCTGCATATCAGATATTTACATTACGATTCATAACAGTAGCAACATTACAGTTATGAAGTAGCAACGAAAATAATTTTATGGTTGGGTCACAACATGAGGAACTGTATTTAAAGGGCCAGAAGGTTGAGAACCACTGCTCTAAACTGTGTTAGATTACCATTGTAGTGCACTATGGATTAATATTTTATAAATCCTGTGATTATCTGGTGAGTAGCAAAATATTGACATTGCAAAAATGTATTATGTTGTAATTAAAAGATATAAACCACACATTTTCATATCTTGTCTTAGAATTTATTTATTTTTTATTCACTGAGAGCCTCAACAAATAGACATGGCCTAGGCTTCTCTACATCTCTGGGAGGCCCTGATCATGATTTTCACTTTAACATGTGGTCATTTTAACTAGGGCCCAAAATGAATAAATACCTAACTAACAAGCTGCTCTCTACTAGCCATACTGTTTCTGCTGCGTGTAACTAGTTGTCAGAAAATTCTAGAGCAGTGAGTGGTTCACAACCCTGGCTGCAGGTGCGAATCCCCCACACCTGCCCAGACACTACTCCAGATCTGCTGATTCAGACTCTCCAGGGCTGGAGTTTGGAGATCCCTGTACTTAACGAGCTCCCTCCCTCTTATCTTACATTAGGGAAGTTGGAGAAGCAGATGGGAAGTGAAACATCAGGGTGCTCTTCTTTCTTGCCCACCGCCTCCCCACCCTTGATGAGACCTGTCTTACATTTTATTTGGAGTGTCAATGCCTATGGGGACACATTTTTCCACCCCTTAATTCAAAAGCTCAGGCAGATACTGAAGGCATCTTGACTAAGGTGATATTTACCCTTTGAGGAACTATAACCAGAATATTTGCATATGGACCAATGATTCAAAAAAGTCAAGTTCAAAAGGACCATGGTTGTGAGTAGTAACAAATGGCGTTGTGTTGATAAAGACAAAGTATAGTTATAAAGGTGGCACAGTTCACTGTGTTCCAGAAAGATATGGCTGTTAAGACTTTCCAGATGAACTAGAGAGTTGAGATGATAATCATTTCAGGGAGAAACCAATTTGGCCTTCCTTATTTTAAGGTGCGAGTGTTAGAAGAAGGATAATACATTAGGGGTCCTGTGGTCAGAGGCTGCCAGGCTGAGCTCCAACCAGCAGAAAGCACCCACAGATGCCGTACTCCCCGTTTCCTCCTGAATTATTCAGACAACTGCCCTCGAGTCATGCTTCACTAACCTGGAGATAGAATCCATTCATTTAACTATTGCATGGACTACAATTGCTACTTCAAATGCAAACCCAGGAAGCTGAATCCCTGCTGCTGTTGAGAGTATATAATTAGCTCCTTGTGCAGCCTGACCCCACAGATTTTTTCTGACGCATTTGGCCTGCAGCGTGACCTTTCTGAGACCTCCAATATCTTCCCCGCAGCTGGAGATGCCCAAAACTGCACGCAGCACTTCCTTCGGGTGTGGCCTTGTGGTTGCTTTTTTTTTTTTTAAGGCCTCATGCTTATTGGATCACATTTTTCAACCACTCTCAGATTCACATAGCTTTTTAAAATACAGGAGTGGGCTATAAGTGGCTATGTCAAACATAACAGTTCCTGCCCTCCCCTTATTTAAAAAAATGATTTTGGAATTATGGCCTCTCAAGAAACACTATAATTGGTCAGCCTGGGGTGCGTTTGATGTCCTCCCAGATAACGTCATTAGCTATTCTCAGGAGAGGAAAGGCAGCGTATTACCCTCCTGGGAGAATGACACACTCGTTTCAAGTTGGGGAAGAGCCTGCTGTTCTTTTCCTGCGTTTGGGGGAAAAGCGAACACACAATGTTCACTTCCTAAATACGGGATGTGCTGTGAGGCTGGCAGGTCATTTTCCACCATGTCATATCCTTCTGGGTGAAGGCAGCAGGGGCCAGGACAGGAAAAGGCAATGCTCAGGGTGAGGCAAGGCTTTCCCAGGGCAGCCATTGGCTCTCGGGAACTATAAAGCATGCTCCTCCAGAAACAGCCTCCGATTTCTCTTCCCGGAGGTAGCCAGAGGTGAACGGTAAGTGGGGAGCCTAGAGGGACACTACCTGAAAAATTGCCATAGGACTTGTAATACTGGGCTTATATCCCTGGTCCATTATATATTTTGAGTGACTTCTTCCCACTTTGCTAAGAGTTGTCTTTACTTGGAAATTTATCACCGGTGGGTGGAATTATGGAGGCATACACGTAAAATTAAGACCTAGGAAGAGTCAGGAGACCAAGATTCTAGACTGGGCTCTGTGAAGGACCGGCTGCATCTAGAATCTGTCTGTGTTTCGATTTCCTCATCTTTTGGATGAGAAAAACCATCTCTGCCCTGATTATCTCACAGGATCGGAACGCTCCATTTCTGTGACTTATTTGCCACTTTAAAGAAGTTCCCGATAATGATGAGTACAGCGGATATGAAGGGGGGAATTTTTGGCAACTAGCAAGGATGTACTTTTACCCCAGAGTGTACAGTTCTGTCTCTTTGTTAGTCATCTGTAATTGGCTTCAATTCAATTTGGTGCAAGGTTTGCCCTCAGTGAGTTGTTAAACAAAAAATTTGGGTTGAGTGACTATTTTATTCAACCATCATTCATTTAAAAAAATAAATTTATTGATTTCAGAGAGGAAGGGAGAATGAGAGAAATAGAAACATCAATGATGAGAGAGAATCATTGATCGACTGCCTCCTGCACTCCCCACATGGGATTGAGCCCTGGATGGGCGGAATCTAACTGTGACCTCCTGGTTGACGCTCAACCACTGAGCCACACCAGCCGGGCCAACCGCTATTCATTTTTAAAAGGAAGCTTTCATAATAGAGACATAGTGGTATTAATTTAATTTAGTTTTAACTAAGCATCCACCAAAGAGTGAGACCTGATGAGCTCTACCTAGAATAAGCAGCAAAAACCACATCTGAGGCTTAATTCTAAGATAAGAGCCTGGAAGAATAACAAGCAGAACCGTTGCTCCAGGAAACCATCTAACTTAGAAAGATTAGTTTCTTACACTTGACAGATAATATGATGTTTGAGTTTTTGGTGGAGAGAGAGAGAGAGAGAGAGAGGACTGTGTTACAACTCTTATGATCCAAGTCTTCATGTAACGAAAGGACTTTGTAAGCAGGTACAACCTCCCGCTTGTGAAGTATTATCTTCTCAACAGAGCAGCGGCCCCAGCATTGAGGTGTTAGAAGGCTCCTCCTCTCCACAGGGCATTGACATCTTACATAACAAATACTTAGTGAAGTCCATCCTTAGCGTCCCCTGGGAGGAAGAGCAGAGGACAGCATTAGCCCTAGTTGCAAATGCGGACTCAAGGTCCTGAGAACTTGGGCGACCTGCCCCAGGTCACAGCACTGATCTTTGGGAACTGGACACAGTTCTGAGGAACTGAGACTCTCCAGTCCGCAGGCTGACGCTCTATCCACTGAGCCAAACCAGCTAGGGCCTAAGATGTGGGTTTTGCTGCTTATTCTAGGTAGAGCTCATCAGGTCTCACTCTTTGGGGGGTGCTTAGTTAAAACTAAATTAAATTAAGTGACCCCTTGGCCCTTGTGTGGCAGTAGCTGCTAGGTTTAACTTTTGCCGACTGCCCCCTAGCGCGTGGAGGCCGCGATGGCGGGCCGCTGTCGCTCAGGGAGACTGGAATAATGGGTGTCTGTGTCCCCGCAGGGCATGGAGCGGCCGG